TGAGCATTTCTTCATATGTCTATTGGCCATTCTTATGTCCTCTTCAGAGAAGTTTCTCTTAAAGTCTTTAGCCTGCTTATTTATTGGGCAGTTGTTTCTTTGAGGATTTAATTTTTTTGAGTTCCAGGTATATTTTAGATATGAGACCCTTGTCTGTTGTATGGCTAGTGAAGATCTTCTCCCAATCCATGGGCTTTCTATTGATCTTGCTAGCTATGTCCTTTGCCAGGCAGAAGCTCTGCAATTTCATGCAGTCCCATTTGTCCAACCTTTCTTTGATTTGTTGTGTTTCTGGGTCTCTATTAAGAAAATTTCAACCTGTGCCAAGAAGTAGGGTTTCTCCTATTCCATCCTGTAATGTTTTCAGAGTGTCTGCTTTGACTTCGAGATCTTTGGTCCATTTGGAGTTGATTCTGGTGTAGGGTGATATATAAGGATCTAGCTTTAGTTTTCTACAGGTGATTAACCAGTTTTGCCAGCACCATTTACTGAAGAGTCTGTCTTTTTTCCATTCTATTTTTTTAGCTCTTTTATTGAAGGTTAGGTCATTATAGGTCTGTGGGTTCATTTCTGGGTTTTCAGTTCTGTTCCATTGGTCTCAGGTCTGTTCTTCTACCAGTGCCAAGCTGTTTTGATTACTATGGCTTTGTAGTAGAGTTTGAAATGTGATTGATATTCCTCCAGCACTATTCTTTCTGTTAAGGATCATTTTTGCTATTTGGGGTCTTTTATTGTTCCATATGAATTTTTGGATTGCTTCTATTTCCTTGAAGAATGAGGTTGGAATATTGGTAGGTATGGCATTGAATTTGTAGATACCTTTTGGAAGTATTGCCATCTTCATGATGTTAATCCTTTCAACCCAGGAGCATAGGAGGTTTTTCCACTTTCTAACTTCTGCTTTGATTTCCTTTTTTAGGACAAACCTGATTTTTTGATACACTGATTGAGTTTAAAAGTGTGCCTGCCTCTGGTATTAGGTATGGCCGGAGACTTTTCTAACACAGTTCCTTCTGGGAATGGCAAGAAGCTGGCAAAGTCACAGGGATGTACTGGCCTGTCTCTCAGCTGATCACTTCCTGTTAAGCATCCTAGAGCATCAGAATTACATGGCTTCCCCTTGAAGAAAAGAATGAAGCTTTAGTCCCAGATATGTCTTGCCCATGTAATTGTAACCCCTCTGTACAGTATTTTCACAGTTAAAAAAACACACACACACAGAAAAGGGCAAGCATGCCCAGTATGAGTTGTCACGTACTGCAGAAGTCGCTGTTGTATAGATGTCACAGGCTTATATTTGTGTATTCTTGACGTCCTTCTATCTTCACTCCTCTGCTGTTTTTCTTTTATAACCTTTAACTGGCATTTCTGTGGTTTTAGCATTGCGGTTTGTCCTTATGTATATGGTAGAAGTTGTATTTTACATTTTTGGTGCATCTTTTCTGACTGCTCAGGGCCAGGTACCAGGTGGTTAGTACCTAGATAACTTTAGAGACTGTCATATGTCAGAGTTGCCACTTGCTGGTTGCTTGACATGGGGCCCTCTCTCCCCCTACCTTCACCTCCTGAGTATTACAGGCATGTACCACCATTCCTAACTCCTGTTAATTCCAATTTTTAGCCATCGGTTAGACTCTCTCAAAAAGGGATAGTGACTTAACACTGTTTTTACTATTATAGCTGCTATTATTGTTATTACTATTATGGAAATTAAAACATTACAGAGATTAAAGAGTAAATAAGTCATAGTCACAAGTGCTAACAGAAGTGGAGACTGCTAAATGTTTTATTTTATTTATTAATTTTACTACCTTCTTTGTTTTTCCCCTACCATCCCTTCTCTCTTCACCTCCCCAACTCCTCCCTATCCCCACCTCCCCCTGAAGTTGTGAAGTTCCTTTTGAACATAGTGTCTTGTATGTCTCATTGTTATAGTGG